GCAAAATAGGGTGGCTGAGAGAAGAAATCGAATTTTAATAAATATGATAAGATCAATGATGAGTCAAGTCAAATTACCTGAATCTCTTTGGGGTGAAGCCCTTAAAATGGCCATATATATCCTAAATAAAGTTTCTTTCAAATCCATTCCCTAAAACAACTTTTGAACTCTTTAAAGAATGGAAAGTTAGCATTAACCATTTCCCTATATAGGGCTGTGCCGCTGAGTTGAAAATCTATTATCCTACAACCTTCAAGCTAAGTCTCAAAACCACCAAATGTTACTTTATTAGTTGTCCATAAATGCTAAAGGCTATAAATTCTATTGTCCTTCTTGTGGAACAAAGATAATTAAGATAATCACTTCCAATTTTTGAAAAGTGATTTACGAGGTTCTCATATCTCAAAAGGTTAGTCCTTATAGTGAGCAATTTATTATTTCAATCACTATTGTACAAAAAAGGGTTTATATCAAACAACTAATAGGGTGACTGAAAAATCTCAATAGAAAACCTTTGAGTGAGCCATTACCATCAGTTCCTGAGCAACCTATTGAGGTTCACCTACTAAACAATCAAAGAAGGGAAGAGAGACTAATTAATCGTAATGATTACTACATTTTTCTAGGAAAATCAAACTTCAGTATTGGAAGTTTACTAGATCTAGAAAGTTATAATGAGGCTATTTTTGGTACTACATCAGATAAATGGATCAAACTATGAATGATAAAATACTCGCTATGAAACACAATGATATGTGGGAGTTTATTGAAGCGCTTGTAGGTTATCAGCCTATTGGATGTAAATAAGTATACAAAACTAAGAAAGATTCCGAAAGTGATGTGGAACATTTCAAAGCAAGATTAATGGTTAAAGGGTTCACACAAAAAGAGGGTACGAATTATAAAGAAACATTTTCTCCGATTTCCTCTAAAGATTCCTCTAAGACCATTATGACCCTAGTGGCATATTATGATTTTGAATTATATCAAATGTGAAGACGGCTTTTTTGAATAGGTATCTTTTTGAGGAGGTTTACATGTAGTAGTCAAAGGGTTTCATAGACAAAGGGAAGGAACATTTGGTATATAGATTGAAGAAATCTATTTGTGGCCTGAAATAAGCTTTTAAACAGTAATATCTTAAATTTGATAAGGTTTACTCTTTTACGAGTTTCATGAAAAAAAAGGTGGATCAATATATATATCTAAAGGTACATGAAATTAAATTTATTATTCTTATTCTTTATATTAATGACATTTTGCTTTCTAGTAATGGTAGTAGTTTGCTAACGAGATCAAGAATATATTATTTACTTCTTTTGACATGAAAGACCTAAGGGAATCTTCTTTTGTCCTAGGTATAAAGATCTACAAAGACAGACATCACAAACTTTTGAACTTGTATTAGCAAACTTACATTAATCATGTGCTTAAAAAATTTAAAATAGAATACTATAAGAGTGGTGATGTTTCTATTGTAAAATGGGACAAATTATTCAAAGATCAATGCTCCAAGAATGATATTAAAAGAAATTTTATAAAGAATGTTCCTTGCGCTAGTGTTGTGGGCAATCTTATGTATGCTTAAGTATGTACAAGACCTTATTTATCTTATATTGTTAATGTATTGGGTAGATATCTATCTAACCCAGGACACACTAACTAGGTGGCTACTAAGAAGGTTATAAGATATTTACTAAAGACAAAAGGATACATACTTATTTACAAGAATTTGGATGATTTAGATATTGTGGGCTATTCGGATTCTGATTTTGCCAATTGCCTTGATGATGAAAGATCCACTTTTAGGTATATTTTTATGTTAACTAGAGGAGTTGTATCCTGTAAGAGTGTGAAACAAACTCTAACTACGTTTTCCATCATGTGAGTTGAGTTTGTTGCATATTATGGAATTGCCACACATGTTATATGAATGAGTAACTTAATTTTTACACTTGGTATAGTTGACTTTATTTTGAGACTATTGAATATTTAGTATTATAATAATTTTGTTGTTTTCTTCACTAAGAACAACATAGTAACTTCTCTTTCCAAGTATAAGTAAATTTTTAATTGTTAGAGAGATGATTGAAAATGGAGAGATTCTTGTAAAATATATTTCAACTGAAAAAAAAAATGTTCACTAACCCATTGACTAAAGAACTTAGACCCATAGTGCTTATAAAACATATTGAGAATATGGGTATTGTAAAATCTTTTGATGTATTAAGTTAGTGGGAATTTTTAATTGACTTTATTTAATTAATATGTACGCATATTATTCTTTTATATCATTATTGACATAATGTTTGTTTTGCAAATTATATTATTGTATTTGTATCTCGATATGTGTTTATTTCCTTTGAATAAATAATATTTCATGAGAACCATGTTATGATCTTTTTGGAGAGATTGGTTGTATTTTCTTGGAAAGACACAATGTCGATCTATACACAAGAGTGTGGAAAAGATCACAAATTTTGTTATGATGTGTACCTACTTTTGTACACTTGTATTGTAATCATGTTAACAACATAATCAGTTATGTAATCATTTAATGAGTTGGAATGTTTATGATTTATCTTCACCTATGGTTCTTGGTTGGTTATTTTGTTAAATTATGATTTTGTTTTGGGTGATTGTTATACATCAGACTATTTTCCTAGTGGCGAATATTATTCAAATAGATAGTTGTTTTCAATATAATTTTAAAATTGCATAAAATTCAATTAACATTGCCAAGTGGAAGAATGTTAGAATTTTCTAATATTTGAGCTTCTATTAATTAATTTTGTATTTTATAAAATTAGTTGAATGGACGGTCTGATATACCTGAAACTCATTCAAAATTAAGTGATCTAATGATTGGGAGTCATCTTGCTTTGGACTTAGGCATAATTAATAAGTGTATTGGGCCATAAGTGCCTTAGAATTTTGTGATAAACAAAACTTATGTCACTATTTTATAAATAAGGCATGATCCTCATTTCACTTTGGATTAACTTTTTATTGTTTACTGTTCCATCGAGGTGCCAATTGTGATAAAGTAAAATTGGTTTAAAAGATCATACTTGTGTGGTATTGCATTGCACATTTTTTATCTCTATTAAGTTAGTCAAAAATGATAAACTTGCAAGGTATACTTTCTCATTTTACGTATTATTAGATGTTTATAATTCTAATGCAAAGTGTCCTATAAATCTCACATCAACGTCTAACTACTCTATTTCACAGCATAAATTTCTTATTTCTTGAAAATGCTCATTGATGGAGAGTACCTTGTGAAATGTTCATCAACTCTGTCTTGAAGTGTTGGAGTTGGGTTGCATAGTTCTTGGCTAGTGGAACAGCAAGAGATTTCCATGCTTCTTCAATATGAGAATGTAAGCTCTCCCACAATTCCTGACCCTTAATATGGGACTTAATACAAGTTCGGATATGTGAGCATTTGGTTTTGAATTTGCGTCTTGTTAATCAATAACCTAAGAACGTGTTTGGTTTTAGAGATGAGAAAAGAAAAATAAAAGAAAAAGATTTGTTAAGTTTGGTAAAAAAAAAAGAAGAAATAAAAAATAATTTGATTTTCGGAGAGTCTAATTTAAATAACAATGAGAGAAAATACCAGAAATATGAGTGATTTTACTAATTGATTCTTATTTTAACTTGTAAGAAAATTTTTGATAATTCAAAATTTTTCATTAAAGGTTGAATTCTCTCACCAAATCTCATCATTTTATATGAGCAAATAAATCAAATTTTATGAGTTTTTTCCTCGTCAATAACTTATTGATTCTTATTATTTTTCATTATTTAAATTATCCAAATGTAACAATCTCACTCTTTTCATGATTTCTAATAATTTTTCACAAAATCACTTAAACCGAGACACGCTCTAATCCATTAGTGTGGTCTTTTTAGTTTCTTTCAAAAGAGTAATTGAATTCTTGAGACATTACTAATTCTTGAGACATTACTAATTGTAAACTAATAGTACACTCTGATCATCCTTTCACTTCCCATAATGGAATGGGATTCAAGTTTCGCTAGTTGTATAGGTACGTTGTAAATCGCCTATTAATTCCAAAAGCACTCTTCCTCGCACACATGCGCTGGAGAAAACTTACCTACTAAGCTATGCACCTAACAAAAATAATCTCCCTTTTTCAAATCCGTCTTGCTGTGTAAGGTTGAACATTTGGAATTGAGTCGATCAAAATACCAAAACCCAAATTAGAATTGAAATCGTACTTCTATTAAAATCAAACCACATTTCAGCAATGCTATTTCTGTTCTTTCAAATAAATAAATTGAAATTTAGTTAAAACTTACAATAAACCAAACAATTAATCAACCATTAAAAAAATCAATTTCTATAACAAGTACCAATTTATATTTATCTTAATTTAGTTGGTTTCTTTGAAAATAATATATATAAACCAATCATCGAACTGTATTTTATAAACCAAACCTTTATTATGGAACTGAAATTACCCTCACAGAAACCGAACCAAACCAATCAAAGTCGGTCAATTTGGCAGTTTATCCCGTTTAGACCTAATTCTGCGCGTCCTATTGCCGACAGATTTTGTTCCCGTTGGTTGTTATCAATCTTCAAAAATTCAGAGGCTTCAAACTCTTGAACGGAGGAGGGTAGAAAGGGAACATAGAGAAATAAGCGCCTGTTAGGTAAGCCGATATATGGAATGGAGTCACAGACAAAACAAATTTAAAAAATAGAATTCATTGTTGAATCACTGCCAACTGTATAAACAGCCTCTTTGTGAGATCCCAGTGGAAAGGATTCTCTCGAGGACTATAATCTAACTAGAATACCCAATAGAAACGTTCTGTAGAAGATCCTAATCTCTAGTCTCTACCTATAAACTAAAATTCAATGAAACCATGAACAAAAAATGGCTTAAAACGGATCAATATAGAGGTATAACATTGGTTCATAGAAAATGCAGTCATCCCAGGCTTTTACCGCTCTAAATGCTCACTCAGATTTTCTTGTTGGGTTCGAACACATACTTGATCAAGGACTCCTTTATGGGAAGCAAATCAGGGAATTCCTTCTTCAGCTTAGACGCATCCATCTCATTATTGCTTCGAGGGGCAACTATCACTTTCGCTTGCTCTTCAAGGGTGAAGTTTTCCCACTTGAAGTCCGGATCTATGTACTTCTTGTACATCTCAAGAATCTCATTGTGGCTCACCACGCCCGGATTTGTGAAATTCCATATTCCCCTAAGGTTCCTCTTTGCCATCTCAATTGAAAGAGGCAGAAGCTCATCCAAGATGGTCATGCTGTTAGGAATATTCACAACTTTGTTGTAACGAGTAATTTTAGTGATGAAGTTGCGCGGGTTGCTAAGGTCTGAAGATATAGGCATTCTGACTCTGAGGTTGCAGACATTGTTGAATTCTCTCAAGAGCTCCTCAACCTGGTTCAACATTTGGAAGTTAAATATGAGTAATTATTCAAAAGGATAATTTTGAATAAGAAATAAATAAAATTTCCAGTATATACGATTTTGCTCCGTAGTTTTGTCAAATTTTGTTCTGGTCTCCATAGTTTTAGTTGTAACACATTTAGACATATTTCCAAATTCGTCCCTAAATTGGCTGATTAACCACATTTTTCCCATACTTTAACATCATTGTAGCTGATACTTCGACTAACCATAGAGATTCCCATCACCATGTCATGTACAGAAATTTGAGGTTTCTATCTAAACGATTAACCGAATACTAAATCTGTGACAATTCCAAAAATTTGGGACTAAATGTGCCAACATGGAATTTAATTGAACCTAGGGACAAAAGATGTTTTTAATCATATAGGAGTGGACGATAAATGCTAGCTTACCATGGCCTTGGTCTTTGAATAGAAAGAGCCAGTGAAATTGGGTTTATCCTCTTCTTTAAACCCTATGCCAGAACCTTGTGGATGAGCTGCATCATATTCAAATATACATCCAGTAGCAAAATTCACCATCAGAAGCCCATTTTCTCTGCAAATATCAGCCAAGTTTAGTGTACCAGAAACATTGGCACGAATGGTTTCTATCTTATGTGTTTCACACCAATCAACATTTGGTCTTCCAGTAACACCGGCAGCATTAAAAACATGAGTGGGCTTAGCATTTTGGATATCTGCCAAGAGCTGTGACCTCTCCTCAAGACGCCCCCATCCATACTCATAAGGAATTCCTTGTTTCTGGCATAGTTTCCCCAGTAGACCACCAATCCACCCTGTTCTACCATAAATCAAGAATTTAAAAGGTAATTTTTCAGAAGTATTTGAGTTCTTTGAAGTTGGTACCACCACCATTTGGCTTTGATTAGAGGTGTTTGAGAACTGAGAGTATTCATCTTTGTAGTTCTCAGCCCCATCAACTATTCCACCAGGCATCATAAGCATCCTAGGATGGGGAATCAATGCTCCAGACACATTGCCCCACCAATCATGGTTATTAGTATACCATTCAATTGTTTTCTTCAAGCCTTCTTCCCATGAAGTCCTCTCTGACCATCCCAAGATCTTCAACTTCTCATCGTCGAGGAAGTACCTCTGATCATTAAAACGGCCTGTTCTCCACAAACTTGATCCTTTTCTCTGGATCCATTGAGAAAAGCTTGCATATGTCTCTGGCAACATCAATTACTCTCCTCTCCCTCTTTGTTCCGATGTTGTAGACATGACCAACTTCTCCTCTGTGAAGAATGACCTCAAAAGCCTCAGCAACATCCTCGCAGTACAGATAGCTCCGAACATTAGAACCGTCCCCATGAATTGGAAGATTCTTCCCTTTCATAGCTAGGAGGATAAACTTGGGGATCAGTTTTTCAGGAAATTGATTAGGCCCATAAACATTGTTTCCACGGGTTGTAATCACAGGTAACCCGTAAGACCTCCCATAAGCCATGACAAGCATTTCTGCCCCGGCTTTTGTAGCAGAGTAAGGATTAGTTGGGAGGAGTTGTGAGGCTTCATGGTTTCCCACAACAGCATCCTCCTCAGTTTCTCCATAGACCTCGTCGGTGCTTACATGGATGAACCTTTTGACTTGGCCAGTGACTTTGCAAGCTTCTAAAAGGACATGGGTACCATAAATGTTGTTTTTGGTGAACTCAAAGCTGTTACCAAATGAATTATCAACATGGGTTTGGGCCGCAAAGTGCATAATCGTGTCAATGCATTCAGTGACAAGGAGAAAATTGACGAGATCAGCACTTCCAATGTCCCCCTTGACAAATTTGAAGTTGGGTGATGTTTGGGAAGGAAGTAGATTCTTAAGATTTGAGCAGTAATCAAGCTTGTCAAGCACAACAATGTTGTACTCAGGGTAATTACGGACAAGCCTGTTAGCAACATGAGAGGCAATGAATCCAGCAGCACCAGTGATGAGGATGTTCTTGGGCGTATATTTAGCCATGTTAGAGAACCTCTGACAAGACAACAACAAACTTAGAACCAGAAAATGCTCAACATGGAATTTGAGAAGAGCAAACAAACAAAAAAGGCCAACTCATTGTTGGAAACGAATTGAAATGAGAGATTTAAATTCCGTTTTCTGTTTATGTTCTCAGTTTTTGTTTGCTGTGTTTCCAAAATAGAAAATGCTGAATGAAAATTCTATTATTTTCGCACCTTAAAAAGGATCCCATTCTCTTAAGTTCTCATGAAAACATTTTCTGTAAACAACTCGCTATTTTTTTTTTTTTTCAAAAACAGAAAACAGTTTCAGAAATAAATCCAAACATGAAAGAGACAGCCTCTGGTTCTCAAGCTCTTATAAGAGCAATGTGATAACCTAATTCATAGAGCAAATACCAAGGACTTTTCACAAAAACTCATATGATAACACAAGGTATTTAAATTCTTCCACTACAAATGCTTAAAGCATCCATCAACAGGTCCCTGAAGCAAACTTGGTATTAAAAACAAATCCTAAACCCAAATTACTAATTAATATAGAAACTTACTCACTGGCATCTTTAATAAAATATACATGATAGAACAGAGAACTTATCTAAAATAAATCCAAGCCATGTCCTAACCAGAATACAATATCATCACCCAGAGCCAAAATTCAGAGCTCAACAATAACCAATGCGAAACGATCGGTTTAATACGGGAGATAAGAAAAAACCGTGCAATGTTTTATAATTTTGGAAAACCACGCAGGAAAATAAATGCATGCGACAGATTTATGACACGGGTATTAAACACAGCCCCAAAATCTTACAATATCTGAAGAAAACCCAGATCACAAACAACACCAATTAGTTGGAAAATATTCGATGATCGAAGAATTGGCAGTCAAATAAAAAGATCAAAGCATAAACTTACGATTTGGGCTCAACCCAAGATGGATCAGTATGTTGGAAAGAAACGACAGGACTGGAGAAGAAAAGCAGAAGACTAGGAAACAAAAAGAGAGCGATACAGAGTGAGTATCGGACAAGCAATGATGATCGAATAATAAAGCGCGAAGCGAGGAGAGATGAGAGGCGCCCATATGTCAGCAGCGCATATTTTACGTATCTGTTCTGTGCTTCTGCGAAGACTTTCACAGACGTATAGTCCCGTGCCCAAGCAATCGAGACGGTTGAGGCGAACCTTAATGTGGAGATTAAAGGGCGAAATTGCCCTCACTAGGCCAGCCGCTTGCACTCTAAGTTGAAATTTGAAGTTGGCTATTGGTTCGTCCCTGTTGGGGATAAACATTGGAAAACGATGAAAGTTAAAAGATAAAGATTAAAGGGTAAGGTATAGAGCTACGTATAGATTAATTTTATTTTTTATTTTTCTCAATTTTTTAATATTTATCTCTAACAGCGTTGTTAAAGAAAAAAGATTTTTTACTCCAACAATATTTTTATTTTAAATTTTAAAAATTGATAAATACATTTAAAACAAAATATAAATTTTTCCGTCATTAAAAAAATGGCGATATTTTATCTTCTTCCTCCTTTACAGGTCAATTTAGGTACGTGTACTTTTTCCATAAAAAAGAATTTACCAAAAAAAAATTATGCCATAATTTTTGTAATTGAATATAAGTCAATAATTTAGGGAGTTTCACTTATCAACCCTAATTGTAATGTTGCACATTTGTAGCTTTACTCGCATCCATAAGAGACAATTTTTTTAGATAAACTCTTAATTCTGTCACAATTTGCTCCCAAGTCACTGTCTCCTTGCTAGTAAGTTAATTTATGGTTTGAAGATCAATAATATGGTACCTTGTGTGTGTGTGTGTGTGTGTAGAGAGAGAGAGAGAGAGAGAGAGAGAGATACTTATGGTAATAATTATAGAATCAACGGCCATTTTAGCTGGTGTGGTAAAATTTATTATATTATAATGGGCCATTAGTATATATTCTAGGCAAATGTACAGAGATTTTCCAAGGTTGGAATGGTTAATGGGCAATTGTACAAGTTTTACGTTTCAGTCATCAGTTTTTTGATAATATTAATTTAGCCCCAAATTATTGTGAGCAAGCAAAAAATGCCAAGGATCAAATCCAAATTATAAATAATTAATATGATAAAAAAATTATAAATAATTAAATAGTAATTTATTTTTTTCTACAAGATGGAGCAAAAGGAAGACAGTAGACCATGAATGCAAACCCCCAACTAATTAATACTAAATAGTATGTTTGAATGTTAGTTTAGGTACTATATTGATGATTTGAGAGATGATATATATGACTAAAAATATATTTTGTAAGAGGGAAAATTAAAATGAATTTGAAAAAGAGGGTTTAGAATTTGAATTTTCTGAAATTCAGTTTTCACATTTAGGAAATCCAAAAGTAAGGTAAGAAACTTGATTTGAGGAGAAATCAAATGTAAAACCTGGTAATCTAGATTTCATGAGACTAATTTTTTGATTATTGTGTCTGATATTTCAAGTTCCAAAACGATTTAATTTTTTTAAACCTTAATTCAAATAAGGGTAAATTAAATTCATAAATATTTGATTTCTTCAACTCTAAAATTAAGTAAGGCCGGCATAATTAAAAACTATAAACTCAAATTTAGAAATTAGGATTAAATATTAGAAGAAGAAAATCAAACATTCAATTCAATAGAAAGAATCACGGAGACCAATAAATATTGAATTGTATTTATTGTGGTAATTATTCTTACATATTGAGTTCAATATGTAATATAATTATATATTATTTTTAATTAATTCAAATTACTAATTTTATTAAATTATACGAGCCCAATAATCTAATATTTAATACTTAACCATGTTTCTATTTTATAATTTTTATTTAAGATAAAAAACACTTTCCTCCCTCCAAATTTACTTAAATAACACTTATTCCTATTCTAATTATAAAAAAATACTCTCCCTCTTTATAAATTATTGACTAATAGTTTTTTAACAATTTTATTAAAAAATATACGAGAATACCCGGTTACATATATATTTACTTATTTATTAAAAATTAAAATATTATTTGATTCACTAAAAAATTATTTTTTCAATTATATGAAATTGAGGCACTTTTATATATTTTTTTAACAAAATTAATAAACAATTGTTATTTAATAATTAATAAAAAATAATTTTTTTGTAAAAATAGAATTAAGTATAGTTGAAGTAAATCTTTAAAAAATAAAAGTAGAGTTTTTAACCTTTTTGTCCAACTTACATAATTTTTGTAACATCTTTTAGGCGAACACCAGATAAAAAATAAGTTGACCTTCTGTCTGCACACAGAATGGCAGATGCTAATGCTTCAAAAGTTAAGACCCAGAGACAGGAAGAGGAAGTGGTATAGAAGTGCAGATGTTGACGGAGAGAAGATTAAAAAGGGAGAGACTTGTAGCTTCAGCTAGGGGTGTGGAACGCCAGAGAGAGGGGAAACTTGAAAGGTTGAAAATTCTAGAGTACTTCCAAATTTAGAAGCCTGAATGCTTGATGGTTTCTCCGGCATTATCCCACACTTCTGCATTTTGGACAAATGCAGCTGGAATCGCCGGTACCCTTCCCCAATTACCCACCACCCCCCCCCCCCCCCCGACCCCCCCGGCCGGGTGTGTGTGTGTGTGTAGATTATGAGTTTGAAGATTAAATGTCTGAATTAATACTTGTATTATGTTCATGTTCGTTACTTACTAAACTGATCAATCAGCTTGATTTGAGCTTTATCTTCCTTGCTAACAAGATCAACACTTGTCTGCTTGTTGCAGGAATCATCTTTGCTATTGGATTTTTTCTGTCGCCAATGTTAGTTCCAACCCATGTCAACATGTCATTTTCTTTGATATGAACTGTAATTTTTGGCATATGGGCTCTTTTAAAATTTACTTTTTTTATTTTTTTTTCTTTTTGTTTCCAGACCGCATTTAGGAGAATTATCCGAAACAAGTCAACAGAACAGTTCTCTGGCTTGCCTTACATATGTGCCCTTTTGACTTGCTTGCTTTGTGCCTGGTATGGCATACACACATGTCTTATGGCAACGTATTGGTTATTACAGTCAATTCAGCTGGTGCTGTTTGTCAACTTACCTACATAACCTTGTTCATTGTATACACTGAGAGGGCACAAAAGGTTAATTATCTGTATAACTTACCCTGATTTTATCAATGGAGGAAATCTGCAACCGTCAATTTCTTTTATGCTTTTTGGCAGCTTAGAATGTTTGGGTTACTTGTGGCTGTTTTTGGACTATTTGCAATCATAATCGTCGGGAGCTTGCAAATAACTAAATTCCCTACACGCCATATCTTCGTGGAGATTATAAGCGGTGCCTCTCTTGTATCAATGTCTGCTTCTCCACTGTTTATAATTGTATGTTGTGTAATGCATCTTCTGCTTTTTTTCCCCTATGGAAGTCATCACCATTGAATTGTCAAAAATTTGCGGTTGTATATGAGCCTCTCAGAGATAGTTATCAGAATTAGACCGGACTGACTGGACGGCTGATCCGTTCAATTGGAAACCAGCTAGTCAGCGAGTTCGGTATGGCTATGAGTAGTGTCTGGTGAACAAATCAGACAGGTGACAGCTACCTGTTACACATGCAATGTAAGAGAGAGAGAGAGGAGAAAAGGGCGGCTAGTGATCACCGGTTAAACCATTAATCCATGGACCGGTGCCATCACCAGTTTGATGCCTGGTTCAGTTTGGAAAATTATGCTCACTGCTACTGTTAATGGAAATTTTCATCCTTTGATTGCTCAAAAATTTTGCTGCATTTTATTCATTTTGATTATGGTGTGTGTCAGAGTTTGGTGATACAGACAAGAAGCGTGGAATTCATGCCACTCTACCTTTCCCTCTCAATCTTTTCGGTGAACAAAGTCTTCTTCTTGTATGGAATTCTGAGATCTGATCCCTTCATATACGTAAGCTTCTGTCAACTTGCGTGTTCCCAAAAGTTAGAACCTCAACTTTACTTGGTCTACACTATAATAACTGTAATACATGAATTTCAGGTCCAAATGGGATAGGAATGGTTCTGGGCATTGTACAATTGGTTTTGTTCTACTACTACAGAAATATATCTAAGAGAGACTCTGGAGAGCTCTTGTTACAAAACCCACTCGAAGGGGAAATGTTGACCTCATGAGTGTAGATATACACTCTGTGCTTTTATCTTGTATATCTGTTTTTGAATCATTGTCATGTCACAGACTTCTTCCCTAAATTTACTTCTTTTGATAGTGGAAAACCTTCTGCGTATGTATTGCAGCAGATGCCTTAAGTTGGTTCTTCTGTAGTTTGTGCAAGACGCATTTCTTTTTGCTGTGATTTTTTTTTTTTTTTTTTTTGTAAAGATCTGTATGAAATCTGTTGAAAGACGGTTAGTTGATGAAGCTGTTGAAACTGGATAAAAATGCCTAAAGATGCCATGGCAGAGGACACCTGCAACCATCTCTCTGGGGTTTGGTAAGCTACAATCTTTCTTGGGACCTCTAATGTTGATATACGCGCGCGCGCGCGCCTATTGAGGACATGGATGTCAATTAGCTGGTATAACCGGATGGCAGCCATCTTTTTTAGATAGGGGACATGGTAGTGGCAGTGAGGAATTTGGAGCCACCTATCAACTTTGTGAAATGAATATTAATTGCTTCAAATGGAGCTCTCTTGATCATTTTCATCCTACCAAAACGACTGAAGTTTCTCTGCCATCTTTCTTTTCTCCTTTGATTGATGGAGATTGTGCTCAGTCTGTGGGTGAGGCTCGGTTTTATGCACCAAAGATGTCGGTTCAGAACGTCGTGGAGTTAGATTTCATGCACTTGAAAGGTGGTTATGCTCTATTATCCGGGCTCCTTCCCTCTCTTTATTCCCTCTCTCTGACAGCAACATCTGATTTCACCGAACTGCCCCTTGGTGACTTTACCATCTACCTAAGGGTCAGCGGGTCACTGTCCTCCTTAGATGCCTACCTAAAATGTAGAACCTTTCATATTCTTAAACTCAATGTTTTGTATTAATTTTGATAATAATAAAGTAAAATAAAATTATTATATGTGCATGTATTTAGATGGATTGTTAGATGTGGGCAATTCATATTATTAATTTAATATTGTGCTATATATACTATATGTTGTGTTAGAGAACAAAATTATCAAATTAAACATATATATATATAGTAAATTGATTATATTTTATTATATAAAATTTCAAAAATAATAATGTTAATTTTATATAAAATTAGACTCAAATACCTTTATTTCAATATACAATTTGACTCACTCACTCTTTCATATTAAACCAGCTTTTTGTATCAATCTTATATATTATTTTTTTAGAAAAATCAATATTAAAATGTATACCATATGAGTTTTTAAATAATAAATACATTTTATAACACTATTAAAATTATAATTTTATTTTATTTTGAAAATAGATGTGCTAAACTTTAAATGGATATAATACATCACGTTTAGGACTTATAATTAAGTACATACAATTTTTCTAAGTGAGACATTTTGCTAAGTTATACTATCAATAGATAGAACAAATAGATTATAGTGTATTGGTCATATCATAAAATATTAAAATTTTAATTTATGCAAATTTAATTTCAAATGAAAGTAGATATTGGGCTTTTCAAAAATATATAATTTATTTTGGTTATGAAGTTAAGTCTCTAGATAATTTTGAAATTGATTAACGAATTTAATAGAAGCAATGTTTTTAATCGACATGTCTTTGGAAAATTGACCATTTCCTTCAAACGGCTATTTACTATGTAATAGTTCCTTTTGTAATGAAGTAGACTCTATACAGAGTGTTCAGAATTTTTTCTAGGATTTATTAAAGATTAGAAGCTATTTTTTTAAATTTTTGAAGTAAGCCAATAAATTGTTGCTGCTAATGGAAAACTAAAATGTGTTTTCCACCATTTTACAAAAGGCCAAGTTTTGCCTAGCCGCCCCCTCCTTCCTTTCTTTTCTCTTCCCCTCACTCTCTTCTTCTTCCTCCTGTGATAGTAGCCCCTATTCCATAGCCGCCCACCTCGCTGCTTAGAGCTTCCCCTTGCTCGATCTTGCACATCAACCGTAGAGTGGTTTCTCTCACTCCCATCCTCTTGTTTGTTCTAGCTGGTTGAGTGGTCTCTACTAGTAGAGCCCTGCTCCAAGCGCAAACCTTCAATCGCGGTATATCTCTCTCCCTCTTTGATCTCCCTCTCTCTGATCATTTGAAACCTTACTTGCTGTGGTTTCTTAGGTTGCAATGGGAACAAAACTGGAGGTTGCACACAAGAAAGAAGGAAACATAACTTGATGTATGTTGAGCGTAAAGATAGTTGAATCAATGGTTAGTTGGGTCATATGCTATGACTATTGTTTTCAAATCTTAGTTGGGAGTTGAGATTGGGCTAATATTGTGTTGCTAGTGTAATGTGATTATCCTAATTGAAATTTGATTTTTTGTATCTTTTGCATGCTCAATACTTAGAATTATTTGGCATTTCCAAGCACATTTGAGCACCACTCGGTCTTCATAGTTGCGAGCATGTTAGATGGCTTTGATTGGCTGCTAGTGACACAAAATTTTAGGAGAGAAGTTGTTGGTAGCCCTTATTACGTTAGCACCTGATGGGCTTTGTATAAAGAACTAATAATCTAAAAAGTGTGTTTCAAATCAAATGGTGTAATAATGGATTAAGCCTTGATGTGAAGTCAAGTGTTAGCCCTAGTTGTGTATTCTTCTTTGAATAGGTTATTTGGAGTAATCTTTTCTTGGTGTTGAGGATCGTACAATGAGATGGCCCTCAATAGTATTAATCTCAAGATTTCCTATGAGTAATTTTACATATTCTTTATATGTGTTTCTGCCAAAGTGTTTTCTGAATAAATTATTTGTTTTTATTGTTTCAAATTTACTATCATGCTTGCTAATTTTTATATGATTTATTATGTTTCGAAGAAATAATTGCTATAAATATGATGGCATGATTCATTGCAAATTGTTTTAAAATTTGTCGAGCAACTATCTTGAAAACATGCATCCTTGAACCTTTTTATGTATTGTGTTTTGCTTATAAAATGAAAATACTATTTGTTTTTATGAGAATGCATAGAATTCGATAAGTATTTGTTATGACTTTGAAA